CCAGCATCCATCGGTATTCATCTGTCTAGCGCCCCGTCAGTGTGTGAGAGAGTTGAGGGCTGTTTGCAAACTGAAACAGTATTTGCTGTGTGAGCAAGGAGGAGACAGCAAGGAGCCTGGGTGTGGCTTAGCTCAACTGTTCTGTCCTAAAGTTGCTTGGTGCTCTGAAACTGAAACTGAACTTCCTCTCCTCTGCTTGTGTTTTGCATTTGGAAGAGATTTCTTTCCAGATGGGGAGGGGGAGTAGAACTCCTTAGCATCAGAGCATGTTAATAATAATAATAATATACAAAATATTAATGCTTTGATGGTCATTTTGAAAAATCCTTTCTTAGTGAGCCCCTAGAAGCCAAGAGGAACATATGTGTCAAATTTCAAGTTTGTAGGCTTTACAGTTCTGGAGATGTTTTGATGATGCGTGAGTGGTCTTTCGCTTTTATTTATATAGATAATAATAAAAAAAGGGGGATTAAAAATCTAATCTAATGATAATAAACTCTGCCCTACACAGCTTTTGATCTTCGTGTCAACGAAGCAAAGAGGGAGGGGGAGAGGATTTAAGTCTCTCTCTCTCTCTTTCTCCCTCCCTCCCTCTGTATTTGTGTGTATGTGTGTGTGTGTGTGTATACCTTCCTCCTCATCGGAGTCTTCCAGATCAGCCAGAGTTGGTGCACTGGGCAAAGTGTACACTGGTGAGACACAGAGACGGTTCAGCTTGGAGATGCTGTTAATCGTCATGCAGCCTAGAGAAACTGGGTTATCTAAGAAAGAGAAAAAGAACCTGATTTGCGCAATGCGCGATGCCCAAACCTTCAACCCCAGTGTCGTTAGAGACCCCACGCACCCACTCCACGGCCTGTTTCTGTTGCTCCCCTCTGGGAGGAGGTTTCCAAGCATTTCTAGCAGGACTACCTGATTCTATCAGGGCTTTGCTCCCTGGGCCATCCGTCGGGCAAACTCACAAGATTCGTTTTTCTCGCCATGTTGTATGTATCCAAACTAGACTGTGTTGTAGATCAAGGACCTGGGATCAAGCAAGGGAGGGAGGCGGGGCAGAGACCCTTACCATCAAACTTGACGTTCCAGGTCATCCGGAAACCGTCGGTCATGAGGTAGAAATTCTTCAGATCGTCTGGTAGGACGCAGGCGTTTTTCTGCAAGCGAAGACCAGGGGGGAAGGCAGGGGTGGAAACAAAAACAGAAAGGAGTAAGAAGTGGGACGTGTTGCGTCCTGCGACATACATCTCAGTGGAGGTACGCGACTGGTTTGGACCGGTTCAATCGAACCGGTAGCAAACTACCTGTACCACCAAACTGGTTCCTCCGACAATCAGCTGCGAGGATAAAAGAAGCCACAAGTGCATGAGTGGGTGGGAGGATCACGCCTAGCTTTTTGTTTCACCCTCTCAGCTGATCGGCACGTTAAGGGGCGTGCACGCATTTTAGGGGCTGCACGGGAATGCCCATGAGGGGTGCGCATGCACAGTCACCCCATCCAATCGGTAGCAAGCGAGGTAGGAACCTGCTACTGATACAGCCTGTGAGAAAGGCGGGTGTGGACAACCCCGAAGAAGGAATGCAAAGCCTACGAAACAGGAGCTCAGCCCAGGAAAACGGGACGGTGTGGGAAAGAACATCAAGGATGCTCCGTCTTGATTCTCTTTGGTGTAAGATGGAGGGACGGAGAAACACTGCCGGGGTTTCAAGGTTGGGTTGTGATTATATTGTAACACAGTATTTCTTGTCAAATACAGATGGGTCAACATCCAGCTTGAGAATTCATAGATCAAACTCCAGGGTCATTCAGTTTCTGAAAAAAAACCCCAAACCTTACTGTTTGTTGAATACACTTGCATGACAATGTCGAAGTAAAACTAACTCTGAGGTTCCCAAACATCAGTTCGTAGAATTAAACAATAATTTCCCCAGCCATACCCCCCAACCTTTCAAGTAGTCCATGTAAACAAGATAGGATAGGTCATGTTTTTTTTTACTCCAAGCACACCAGCCCACATTAAAAATGAAATTCTGTTGCTTGGTCTTAAGGGGGTGTATATCTACCCAAACATTTACGTAACACATATAGACACATACTGTATAGAGTACATACGGTACATAAATATGTACCTGCACCATACATATATATGCATTTAGACACACACACACACACATTTCACTGTATTGAATATCTAGTGGAAAGCGGAAACTTGAGAGTTCACAAGGTTGATGCTAAAAACATCACGCTACAAGCATCATTTTACAGCATCAAGTTCACTTTGTTAGGGGAACCGCCTGCTTCCATTCTGCACCTCTTCGGCTGCCCCTGAGAAGGTTTCCGCCTCTCCTGGTCTTCCGCGAAGTCCTACAGGTTTCATTCCTCCACCTTGACTTTAACCCGTCCGAAAGCGACACCTTCCCTCCCCTTATTCAAATGGCAAGTGTAAGAGGCACAGAGCTTGCAACGTTTCATCCTTGACAGGGGGAAGGTTTTATAGGTGGCCTACGCCTCACAATCAGGAGGCTTTGGAGATCGATCCTACGTAGCGGAAGATATTTCTCTCTCTCCGGGCACAAAGAGAAAATATCTGCTGTGAACTTTGGGGCAGGCATCAGGGAGGGCATCTGGCCAGTAAACGCTCAACTCCATTTGGTCGCCCCGACCGTACCCCGAATTAAGGGGTGGCAGGGTTGCAAATGGGGTCCGCGCTGTCAAAGCTTCTAACCAAAAGCAGCATTTCTGCAAAGCCCCCTCTTGATCATTTGGGGGCAATTTTAACCATTTCCTCTTGTTATGCTTATGTTATAATGTTTATTATTATGTTGTTATTATTATGTAGTTGTTATGTTATGATTAGGGGGCTGGCGGCTAAAATATTTGAAGAACTGTTGCAGGAATTGGGGATGGCCAGTCTAGAGAAAAGAAAGACTGGGTGGGTGGGGGGGACATAACAGCAGCATTCCAGGATTTGGGGGGCTGCTCCACAGAAGAGGGGGTCAATCTATTTTCCAAATCACCTGAAGGCATGGCAAGAAACAACGGATGGAAACTGACCAAGGAGAGAAGCAACCTGGAATTAAGGAGAAACTTCCTCACAGGGAGGACAATTAACCAGTGGAACAGCTTGCCACCAGAAGTTGTGGGTGCTTCATCACTGGAGGTTTTTAAGAAGAGATTGGACAGCTCCTTGTCTGAAATGATATATAGCATCTCCTGCTTGAGTAGGGGGTTGGACTAGAAGACCTCCAAGGTCCTCTTCCAACTCTATCATTTTGCTTGGTTTAGGCCCTGACATTCTTCAAAGTTTCATCTTGAAATAGCCAAGGGTTGTGTTTGCCACGGCTATATTTTCTCCCAGCTGACCCTTCGACATTCTTAAAGACTGGAGTGAATGCTGACCCCTTTGAACTGGCAGGCCTTTTATCTTAGAGGCCATTCGGCTATCTTTGACCAGTTCTCAGCTGTCCGGACAACTGCCTATTGTCCATTCTCGACTGGATTCTCCTGGCCATTCTACATGACATGTCCTTCCAATTCTACCTTTGGAAAACGACAGACTGCAGAGATGGTTGTTGTAAAAGCCCGAGAGGAAAGAAATTGGCCTGAGATACAGTCTTCTGGAGTGAGAGAGAGAGAGAGAGAGAGCAATCCAAGAACAGGTAAGAAGGTTGGAATAGAATAGAATAGAATAGAATAGAATAGAATAGAATAGAATAGAATTCTTTATTGGCCAAGTGTGGTTAGACACACAAGGAAAAAATATTAAGATACAACATTTAGTGATAGTCATAGGTTACCAATAAGCAATCAAATCATACTAGGAAACAAATAAAACAATATAAATTGTAAAGCAACATGGTTATAGTCATACGTGGGAAGAGATACCGTGTTTCTCATATAATAAGGCCGGGTCTTATTTTTTTTTTGAGCCCCGAAAAAACGGCTAGGCCGTCTTTTCGGGGGTGACTTAATTCCCCCCCCCTTGCATCTTAGGGCGGGCGGCGACGGCTTGGATGTTGACCTCGGCGTTGGTGGGGCACTTCGTATTGGGGTCAACGCAGGCAGCACCATATCCGGGTGTGCAACAAAAGTACTTCCTAACAGCAAGCCCCCCACCGCCATTCTCCCCCCCCATTTCGCATGTTTTAATATAGGCCTTAATTTGGGGGGAGAGGCTTAATTTCATTTCATGCCTATAAAACATGCTGGGACTTCCTATTGGGGGAGGCCGTATTGTTGGAGAAAGAGGGGAGGTACTGGAAAGGATGAGAAGAGTAGCAGTAATACAGTAGTAGCCAGTTTCGGTCAAATGCTGCAAAATTTAATTCAGGGGTCCCCAAACTTGGCAACTTTAAGACTTGTGGACTTCAACTCCCAGAATCCTGGGAGTTGAAGTCCACAAGTCTTAAAGTTGCCAAGTTTGGAGACCTCTGATTTAAATTAATGCAGAACGAGCAATATTGCTAGGAAGGAATGGTTCCGCGCGGTGTTTCCTTTTTAAAATATCTTGACGGCTACGGGACATTTTACACGAAGGACTGTTGCAAGAACAGTCTGTACCATTTCAAGAGCAAAATAAGTCAAATTCCAACCCGCCCTCCACCCAAAAAAAGAATCAGTTTGGTCGAGCGGATAAGGCACTCGGTTAGAAAGTGGGAGAGCGCAAGTTCAAGTCCTGCCTTAGCTATGGGAACAAGGTGGGTGACTGTGAACCACTATAAATTCTAGTCCTGCATTAAGCATGAAAGCCAAATGGATGAGTTTGGGCCAATCACTAGGAGACTGGGAGTTCTAGTCCTGCTTTAGACATGAAAGCTGGCTGGGTGACTTTGGGCCAATCACTAGGAGAAGGTGAGTTCTAGTCCCTCCCCAGGCCTGAAAGGCAGGTGCGTTTGACTTTGAGCCAATGCCCGGACATTGTAAATTTTTGTCCTCTCTTAGGCATAAAAGTCGACTTGATGAGTTTGGGCCAATCAGTGGAATAACTTGCCTCCAGAAGTTGTAAATGCTCCAACATTGGAAGTTTTTAAAAAGGTGTTGGACAGCCATTTGTCTGAAGTGGTGTAGGGTTTCCTGCCTAGGCAGGGGGTTGGACTAGAAGACCTCCAAGGTCCCTTCCAACTCTGTTATTCTATTCTATTCTATTCTATTCTATTCTATTCTATTCTATTCTATTCTATTCTATTCTATTCTATACTTTTTTTAACTTGTTCATTTGTTCGTACACAGCGAGCATTTTCAAAATTAGCAATTTAATCTTGCACCAGAAGCCCCATCCACACCTTTCATAAGTCTCTTCCTCTCCAAGGGATGCCTTGACGTGTTGAATACTCGAATATAGCTCATCAGTCTGGAACCCACATTACATATCTGATATTAACACAGTTGAGAAAGTCCAGAAATATTTCACAAGAAGAGTTCTCCACTCCTCTACTCGTTGTAGAATACCTTATGCCACCAGACTCGAAATTCTAGACCAAGAAAACCTAGAACTACGCCGCCTTCGGTCCGATCTAAGTATAGTATACAAAATCATACATTGCAATGTCCTACCTGTCAATGAATACTTCAGCTTCAACCATAACAATACAAGAGCACACAATAGATACAAACTCAAGGTTAACTGCACCAAACTTGGCTGCAGGAAATACAACTTCAGCAACAGAGGGGTCAATGTCTGGAATACTCTACCTGACTCTGTGGTTTCTTCTCCAAACCCCAAAAACTTTAACCTTAGACTGTCTACTATTGACCTCACCCCTTTCCTAAGAGGTCTGTAGGGGTCGTGCATAAGCGCATCAACGTGCCTACCGTCCTTGTCCTATTGTTTCTTTTTATTTTTCTTATATGTACCCATTTCATGTATTGATAATTATGTATATACTTATACCTTAATCTTGTTAGCAATTGACAAATCAAATAAATAAATAAAAAATAAATTGACCGCAGGCAGCTGAGAAACTTAAGGGAAACTCTGACCTCTAGTGGCAAAAAGTGGGAAGGGAAAAAAAGTGATGGTTTCTAGAGGAGTCTGACTACCGGTATTTATCTGTATCCCACCTATATTATTTTTAAATATTAATTCAAGGTGGTGAGGATATCCAACCACACCTTCCTCTTCCTATTTTCTCCATAACAACAGCCCTGTGAGGTGGGTTGGACTGTTGAGGGACTGGCTGAAAATCACTCAGCTGGCTTTCATGACTAAAAAGGGACTAGAACTCACTGTCTCCTGGTGACTGACCCAAAGTCGCCCTGCTGGCTTTTGTGCCTAAGGCAGGACTAGAACTCATTATTTCCTGGTAATCGGACCAAAGTCACCCAGCTGGCTTTCATGCTCATGGCGGGACTAGAACTCACCATCTCCTGGTGATTGACCCAAAGTCACCCAGCTGGCTTTCATGACTAAAAAAGGACTAGAACTCACTGTCTCCTAGTGATTGACCCAAAGGTGCCCAGACGGCTTTCATGACTAAGGGAGGACTAGAACTCCCTGTCTTTGGGTGATTGGGCCAAAGTCACCCAGCTGACTTTCATGCCTAAGGCGGGACTAGAACTCCCAGTCTCCTAGTGATTGACCCAAAGTCACCCAGCCGGCTTTCATGCCTAAGGCGGGACTAGAACTCCCAGTCTCCTAGTGATTGACCCAAAGTCATCAAGCCAGTTTTCATGCCCATGGCAGGACTAGAACTCACCGTCTCCTAGTGATTGACCCAAAGTCACCCAGTTGGCTTTCATGCCTAAGATGGGACTAGAACTCACAGCCTCTTGGTGATTGGCCCAAAGTCACCCAGCCAGTTTTCATGCCCATGGCAGGACTAGAACTCACTGTCTCCTGGTGATTGGCCCAAAGTCACCCAGCCGGCTTTCATGCCTTAAGGCAGGACTAGAACTCACCATGTCCTCCTGGTTTTTAGCTTGATGCTTTAACCACTAGTCCACACTGACTCTCAGTTACACAAGAGAACAGACTAAATGCAAACGGAGGGCGCAGTACCTGTTCCCAGGAGACGATTGTGTGTCGCTCAGCCGGTTCTTTTTCTACAAACATGACTTCCGTAACTCCTGGAGAGGTTTCTACAACAACAGACAACACAGAAACGCCAGGCGTTCAGTTGCTAAAAAAACGGTACGAAATATAAGGAGAACTAGGGGGGGGAAAAACCCTGGGGAAAATTTCACACTTTTTTGAAAACAAAAAAACAAACAAAACTTAATTTCTCTTTTCACTGTTGCAAATATATTATTATTGCAAGAAAAAAACCTGATTTTTTGGGAGGGAATGATTTGGTAAAGAATCTATGCATTTTACAAGAATTCAGTTTGTCATTTTTCAGGGGGTTGGACTAGAAGACCTCCAAGGTCCCTTCCAACTGTGATAGTCTATTCTATTCTATTCTATTCTATTCTATTCTATTCTATTCTATTCCATTCCATTCGATTCCATTCCATTTTTTATTCTATTCTCTATTCTATTCTATTTTCTATTCTGTTCTATTCTATTCTATATTTTATTCTATTCTATTTTCTATTCTTTTCTATTCCATTCTATTTTCTATTCTATTCTATTTTCTGTTCTATTCTATATTCTATTTTCTATTCTATTTTCTATTCTATTTTCTATTCTATTTTCTATTCTATTTTCTATTCTATTCTATATTTTATTCTATTCTATTCTTTTCTATTCCATTCTATTTTCTATTCTATTCTATGTTCTGTTCTATTCTATATTCTATTCTATTTTCTATTCTTTTCTTTTCTATTCTATTTTGTATATTCTATTCTATTCTATTCTATTCTATTCTATTCTATTCTATTCTATTCTATTCTATTCTATTCTATTCTACAGATAATAGAAGATACTTTTTTCAGCCCAAATCATCACACAGGGCGGTTGTTATGGGGGAATTCCTACTGACACAAGAACCACCCTGCGAGGTAGGCCAGGCTAAGCAAAAACTACAGGTTCAAAAATCCCCCCCCCAGATAACAGACAGAGGACTAGAATATAGGCCACCCACCCCAATTAGGGCTTTAATCCCTACATCACAGTGGCCCTATGGATCTTAAAGTTCACAGAGGCAGGTATGGGGATAATGGGAGATGTAGTCCAAACACAGAGAGCCTCTGGCTAGGGAAGGTTGATAGAAATGATTAGAGAGATTCCATTTCCTGATTAAAGGTAGTCCTTGACTTACGACCACAATTGCGAACCTAATTTCCATTGCAAAGCAAGGGGTGGAAGGATCTTAAAGGAGTCCTAAACAGGATTTTATGACCGTTTTTGCCATAGTTGTTTTGCGAATCACAGAGCCGATTAGCAAATCTGGCTTCCTTCACTGACTTTGCTTGACGGAAGCCAGCTGGGAAGGTCACAGATTGTGACCATGGGGCACTGCAACCGTGGTAAATACACGCCTACATTTTAACCTCTGATACAGTGATGGGTCATAAGCACGAGGACCAGTTAAGTCATTTTTTTTTCCTCCCAGTGCCGCCACAACTTCAAACAGTCGCTAAATGAATGGCTCCAATAAAGGAGATTATTTGTCCTCTGAAATGAAGGGTAGTCCTCCACTTACGACAATTGAGACCAAAATTTATGTTGCTGAGTGAGAAATTTGTTAAGTGAGTTTTCCCCCTCTCCCGTTTTACAACTTTTCTTGCCTCCGTCGTTAAATGAATTGCTGTGGTTGTTAAGTTAGTAACCCGGTTCATCAAGGGGAGGCGGCCATGGTCATAAGTGTGAAAAAGGGTCCTCCTAAGCCACTTTTTCCAGTGCTGTTGTAACTTTGAACCGTCACCAAGAAAACTGTTGGAAGTTGAGGACTACCTGCGTTGTGTGAAGGCTTAGTGCTGGCTAACATGGACTGAATATTAGAAAAAAAAAAAACCTTCCTAAAAGTAATTGGGTGACCCAGAAGGAGGGTGGGCTCTTCACTGGAGGCGTTGAAGGCAAGTTTTGGAAAACCGCTGTCTTTGAGAACCTTGGATCTGGATCCCTGCCCTGAGCAGGGGGTGGACTGGATGATCTCAAGGGTTCTTTCCAACTCTAGGATTCCTGACCTCCTGCTATAGCATAATGCAATTTAGGCTTGCGGTGGGAAATGTCCCCAAGAGGACAGCCACCCCCCGCCACGGGTAGGCATAGCTGCCCGCATTTGTCTAACCCAGGCGGATTCAACAAGCCATAGTTAAACAAGCCATAGTTTAGCAGAAACCACGAAAGCAGGGGATGCGATGTAATAGAGCTTTCCTTTTAAAAATGGTGGGAAAATTTTCTCTGGTGTGAAAGAAGGGGAAGTAAGACCTTCTTGTGGTAGGAAAAAATAAAAAAAAATATAATAAATATTAAATAAAAAACAAAAACAAAGTAGAAAAATAAAAGAGGATAAAAATAAAAAAGCCCCAAAAGTAAAATAAAAACTAAAATAATAAAGAACTAAAAATAAAAGATAAAAATAAAACAGAAAAACCAAAAATAAAATAAAAGGATAAAAATAAGGATAAAAAATAAAATAAAAATGACAAAATAAAAATAAAGTAAAAACTAAAAATAAATAAGATCAAAATAAAATGATAAAAATAATAAATAAAAATCAGACAAAAAGTAAAATAAAAAATTAGAAATAAAAATGAAGTAAAAAAGAAAAAAACAAACAAAAATAAAAATAAAATAAAAGGATAAAAATAACAAAGACAAAAGTAAAAAAAATAATGAAACAAAAATAAAGCAAAAACTAAAAATAAATAAGATCAAAATAAAATAACAAATAAAATGATAAATGAAAATAAGAACAAAAAGTAAAACAACAAATAATAAAATGATAAAAATAAAGTGAAAACTAAAAATAAGTCAAACCAATAAATAAGTAAAACCAATAAATAAATAAATTAATTAATTTATAAAAAAACGATGTGGAAAAGAATCAAGGTCTCCATTTGGATATCACAGCTGGAATCTTCAGATCAGGAATTTGAAATCAAATTATTTTTTCCATGAGGGTAGATGGGAGACCACCAGGAGATCCTCAGGCGGTAGGCAAGCCCCCCCCCCCCCCAAATGGGAAAATAAAAATCCCAGCATCGGGAGGAGCAGTTGGGGGAACAGTTGGGGAGCCTGAAGCCCCCCACATCGCCTCCCCGGGAAAAGCAGGGTTCTCTCTTGTTGCTGCCCGCGGAACTCCCTGCCACTTGATAACTGGCAGGACCGGCCGGACCGTCACCCTGGCAACGCGAAGAGGCGGGGCCCGGCTGCCACTCACCCAGGAGGCGGGTCACCCCGAGGGTGAGCTTCTCCAGGTAGGGCTTCACGCCTTGCAGACCCCGGTCCTCCATCTCCCCGCAAAGCCACCAAGCGGAAGTCTTTTGTCCCCTCTCGCCACCCTTATCCCCCTTCACTTTCTCTCACACGCGCACACACACCCTCCGCCGCATAGCATCATACTCAAGCCGTTCGTTGACTCGCGCGATGCTTGACGGGAACGGTAGTCCCACTCGGGTACCGATTCCTGGGAGAGAAGGAAAGTAAAAAGAAGAAAAAAACTACACCTCCCACAAAGTCCCGCGGTGGGTTTTTTTTTTTTCCCCCTTGCCTTCTGCGGGAGATAACCATTGGCTGTTGGCAAGACTCCGCGTTGCCGGGGCCGTATCTGGGCAAAGCTTGGGGCGGCTAGCCAATGAGAATCGAGGATAGGCGTGCGGGGCGGGGTGGGGCGGAGGGACGCTGGGAGTGGCGGTTGTTTCAAGATGGCGGATGTAGCCGAGGGGCTGAAGCCGGAAGGAGCCGCTTACTGGAGCCGGGACCGTATCCTTTATTCGGGGGCGAGATGGGCGTCTGGTCGTGGGGTGAGGCGGCTGACAGAAGGGAGCTTGGCGGGCTTGTCCTGAGGGGAGGCTGTGGCCTGGCAGCGGGGACGCGGAGAACCTTTGCTGGGTAGCCTCTGAACATGTACAGAGTGCCGGCTTTTTTTTCTTTCAGTAGGAGTTTTCTCTCCTATAGAGTTGTGGCCTTGTGTGTGGCTCGGAAAGATAAAGCAGTCTTCCTCAGCCTGATTGTCTTTTAGACTACAACACCCATCCTCCACAGTCTGTGGAGCTTTTGCTCTTCCATCAGGGAGGGACTCCAGTTCCCATATTCCTCAGCCAGCTGTGTGGAAGGGAAGGGAGGCACAACCCAGTTGCCTTTTCAACGGCCTTCGGTTGGGTTGTAAGGAATGGGCTTTGGAGTGGACGGAATTTGGGGCCTGCCATTGGCGGGAATGCTCTGATGGAGAGGAGGGGCTTTGTAGTCCATGATGAAGCATGATGGTGCTGCCAAAGGGCTTGAATTGGGATTGTTTCCTTGGGGGGCGGGGCGCGGAATTGCTGGATGGAATGGCTTTGAAGACCCCTATTTATTATGTATTACATTTATATACAGTAGGTAACAATTGAGCCAAAAATTTCTGTTGCTAAGTGAGACAGTTAAGTGAACTTTGCCCCCTTTTACGACCTTTCTCGCCACTGTCATTAAGTGAATCGCTGCAGTTGTTAGTCATGCGGTTGTTAAATGAATCTGGCTTCCCCATTGACTTTGCCTGTCAGAAGGTCGTAAAAGGGGATCGCACGATCCCGAGAACACTACAACTGTCATAAATATGAGTCAGTTGCCAAGCGCCTGAATTTTGATGCTGGAATGGTCATAAGTGTGGAAAACAGTCATAAATCTCTTTTTTCAGTTCTGTTGTAACTTTGAGCAGTCACTAATGGAACTGTTGTAAGTTGAGGACTGACTGTAGGCCGCCTATCTCATTAGGCAAAGTGGGTGACTCCATTGCGCCATAAAACTTACATAATGAATTTGGGGAGGGGGCAAGGAGGGGAGGTCCTTCCAGTGGAAATTTGCCCCAAGAGATCCCATTGCTGGCCAAGCATATTGGGTAGCCTTCATCCACAATGAAGCAACATGTAGTTTTGTGCTTGAGTGAAACCAACAATAACTAAAGCTGACAATGATGGGTTGTTGTTTCCCATTTACAAACTAAGCCCTTGAACTTGGTTAAAGACCGGTCTAAAGTTTATTTAATGCACCAAACCATACAGTAAACTGAAAAGCAAGCTCAGCTCTTCAAGTCAAACATAAACCACTCTCACGTGATGCATGAGTATATGTACTTAATATATATTAAGCATATATTAATTTGAGTATATAATTAAAATGTATTTTATGTACATATACTTCATGAACATAAAGTATAAAGTATATGTGCATAAAATAGATGTGAAGTATATGTGAAATATATTAAAAAGTATAAAGTACTTAAAATATGTACATAAAGTAATACATGAGAGCTGTCTACAAATACAGGTAGTCTTTGACTTACGACCACAATTGAGCCCAAAATTTATGTTATTAAGTGAGACATTTGTTAAGTGAGTTTTGCCTCCATTTTACGACCTTTCTTGCCTCGGTTGAAAGTGAACCACAAGTTGATAAATTAGTAACCCAGTTGTTATTCGGATGCTAACTGATTACAGGCAGTCCTTGACTTATGATTGCAGTTGAGCCCAAAATTTATGTTGATTAAGTGAATTTTGCCTATTTTATGACCTTCCTTGCCTCAATTGTTAAGTGAATCACTGCAGTTGATAAGTTAGTAACCTCGTTGTTAAGTGAATCTGGCTTCCCTATTGACTTTGCTTGTCAGAAAGTCGCAAAAGTTTATCCATGACCTCAGGACACAGCCATGGTCATAAATAGGAGTCAATTGCCAAGCGACTGAATTTTGATCACATGATCATGGTGCTGGAAAAGGTGTAACTGTGAGAAATGGTCATTAGTCACTTTTTCATTGTAGTTGTAAGTCTGAACGATCACTAGATGAACTGTTGTGATAACTGGAGGTGAACAGCATATACATTTATTAGCTAACATAGATGTGTTCCCATCTCCCACAATTCCTTGCTTGAAGGGTTTTGGAAATCTGTATTTTTGAAGGAGAATTTCCTCACCGTGAAATCATGTAAATTTAATAAATAAAAGAAATAGATGTGTTTCCCTTCTCCTACAATCCCCTGCTTGAAAAGTTTTGAAAGTCTCTTAATTTCAATGGACAATTCCTCTACCGTATTTGTCCCTTCAGCATTTTATCCCCACTGGCTAGAATTTGACCCCGAAAAGGACTTTGGAGTTGGGCTTTTTTTAATGATCCTTGGTCATTTTGGGTGTGCAAATCTTTTGGATTTTCATTGTTTCCTTCACCTGATTAAGCTTAGAATTGACTGATAAAATACCTGCAGCTGATTGAAAAGCCTTTATGAACGTGATAAATCGGGGTTTTTCAGCTTTTAAAGATGTGTGTGTGGAATTCAACCTAGAGAATGGAATTCCACATATCTTTTAAGTTGCCATGTTTTTTTTTTTCTTGACAAGTTTAGTTAGATTTCCACAGCTTATCTCTTACTACAGGTATCCCACAACATATGACCACAATTGTGCCCAAAATTTCTGTTGCTAAGTGAAACATTTGTTAAGTGAGTTTTGTCCCATTTTACGACATTCTTTGCCACAGTTTTTAAGCAGATCACTGCAGTTGTTCAGTTAGTGACATGGTTGTTAAGTGAATCTGGTTTTTCCCATTGTGTCATGCCCCTGGTGGAGACTGACTCTGAGGGAGAGGAGGAACAGCCGACAGGGAGTGGAAGTGTGGCTCTGGAGGTTGTGGAGGAGGCTGGGGAAGGGCAGAGGTCGGCTGGGCAGTCAGAGGATGAGGCAGGCCCATCTTCTCTGCCTCCTAGGACACACAGGGAGGAAAGGAGAAGGAAACAACTTGGCTTATGAGAGAAGAAGTGGCCATGATCCCCCTCATTGGTTGCAGCTGGGGAGACTAGCATATAAGAGAGACGATTACAACACAGCGTTGACAGAAGCAAAGCTTGTTTTAATTTGGGCTGAAGTTATCTTGGTTGGCGTCCTTCCAACAGACTGTGCCTTGTTATCTCCTTGCAGTTCGTAATTACTTATCCTGGTCCATTGTAGAAATTTTGTCACTGTAGTTTGTTTGGTTTTTCATTTCACCTCTATCTGCTCATTAAGTTTGGACTGTATTTGCTTTCTTTTGAAGACTATTTTTGAATAAGTTTTATCTCCAACTGAGAATTATTGAACAGTGGCGCCAAGCTGGAGGCATTAAAGGACATTTTATATTACACTCCGGGTCATCACACATTGGCTTTGTTTGTTAGTCGCAAAATGGGATCACATGACCCTGGGACACTGCAACTGTCATAATATGAGTCAGTTGTCAAGCATCCAAATGTAAATCACAAGACCCTGGGGATGCTGCAATGGTCATAAGTATGAAAAATGGTTGTAAGTCACTTTTTTTGGTCCTGTTGTCGAACGGTTACTAAACGAACTATTGTAAATCACAGACTACCTGAATCTGATTAAAAATTTTTTTTTTGCTCACTATTGTTCAGTCTTTTTCTGCAATTTGCCTAAAGGCTGATGGCCCTGAAAGGGAATATGATGAAGAAATTATATGTAAAAAAGTCTTCTGTGACTTGGATGGTACCAAGTATGGATGCTTTTTGCACAATTGAAGCCAATTCCTGAAACTTGTGGGTATGAATTTCTGTTATTTTGGAGCACGTGAATTTGGTAACATAAACCCCAAAGTGGGTTAAATATAGGTTCAAAAAAAGACCTCATAAGACATACATGAGAAAAATTCCCACCTGCTTCTGAGTGATTTGTGTGAGCATTATTCACTTTTTTTCTCTTAGTACAGTAGTCCTCAATTTACAACCATAACTGTATCCAACATTTCTGTTGCTAAGTGAAACATTTGCTAAATGAGTTTTATCCCATGGGGATGCTGCAGCAGTCATAAGTGTAAAAACTGGTCATAAGTCACATTTTTCAGTGCTCTTGCAACTTCGAACAGTTGCTTAGCAAACTGTTGAAAATCATGGACTAAAGTTGCCCCTAAAATTCCAGAAAGTTGATGGAAAAACCCTAGTTGGAGACAGTAGCAAACCCTGTGTGTATGTGTGTGTGTTTGCCACAATAGCTGCACAACTGAGCCTTTGAAGTGACGAGAAGTTGAGGTCAAGTTGAAGGAAACACTGACTTGATATTCTTTCAGATTTTTAGAGCTGGATGAAAGTGGGTGCGTGAAACGCCGTTTGAAGTGTCCTCTTTTCTTAAGTCACCTGTGTTGCCATGGTCACACCTGCCCAGTGCGCAGCTTAGTGTTTGTCCACACGTATTGTTCGGTGTTTACCCAAGAAAGGAGAAGTGGATGAGAAATAGGGAACTTTTTGATTGAACAAGCTTTTGAAACGAGGTTTCTGGAACTTAAGTCTAAAACCTCTCTCTGCTTCTCCTGCCTGTTCAGAAGATGTTTTGGCAGGACTCGTTCTGTCAGGGTTCACGAATGGAGGCTGAGTCAGCTAGCCAGGCAAGGAAACCAGGTTTGTTCCTTGGAAGTTCATATTGTTGGCGTTGAATGAGAGCAGTGAGATGGGACTGAACCTGTTTTCTCTGATAATGCAGTCTCAAATAGTTGGGATAATTTATATGTATGTATGTGCAACATTTATTTATGTTCCGCCTTTATTATTTTACAAATAACTCCCAAGTTGTCAGCATACCTAACACTCCTTCTTCCTCCTATTCTCCCCACAACAGCAACCCTGTGAGGTGGGTTGGGCTGAGAGATCATCCAGTTGGTTTCCATGGCTAAAGCAGGACTAGAACTCACCATCTCCTAGTGATTGTCCAAAGTCACCCAGACAGCTTTGATGCCTAAGGCAGGACTAGAACTCACAGTCTCCTGGTAATTGGCTGGTTGTTTATTGTTTGAGTGTCTGAATTGATTGTTCCTTCATTGGGGTTATGTTTTACTTCTTGGTTGTTAATCTAGTATTAATCGAGATTAATAGATTAATCTATTTATCTGGGCGTTGATTGCTGGCAAAGAGGTGTTTGCACTGTTTTGGTTTCCTTTTTTTAGATTTTTGAGTGCCTCTTTCGAACGTTATGCAGGCGTTGTTTATCTCTATGAGCCTGTGGATGGCTGATTTGTCTGAGTGCCATACTTCCTTTGGCAAGAACACTTTTATTGACACTGGAGGTGTTCTTTCTCCCTTCTAGCACTGATGATGTTACCTAGTTAGGTAATGAAATGTCTATAAGAAAACAGGCAAGCTCACAGAGCACCAAGGACCCCTCATTTCAACCCTGAACTGCAAATATTCTTTTCTAAGTTCTCTGAAATAGAGAACTTAGTGTGAGAAACTGGGCCTCTCTGCGGTTCTCCCCAGATTTCCTTCCTGAAAAATTGAATCCCAGACATAGGACTGATTGACCCCCCTGACTATTCATAGAGTTTCAGAAACCTTCAATCATTGGAAAGCCTCACAAAGTTCCTTTTATGATCAGAGCTCAGAGGGGGAAGCAAAATGCCCCTGCTACTTGCCTCATCCTGTAATCACAGACAATGGTTTAATTCAGGTTTGGCTATTTTAACGAGTCAAAAAGAAAAAGAAATGTCTGCTTCCGTCTGCTTATGATTTGCTGATCTTTGGGTGGAAGAAAGCTTTCCCTGACCTGCATCTAAAACCCTGGAATACAACCAGTGCTTTTCTTGCTTGCTTTCCTTGAACCAATATATCACAGTTTCAGATGAAGACCGACAACCTGTGTATGTCCCAGGTACGTTGTATGAATGGCTACAGCCGATGTTTGGACAGTGAATCTGCTCCAGATCTAATCTTAGAATATAATGGAATTGAATGGAATAGAGGATGGAATGAGAATAGAATAACAGAACAGAATAGAATATGGGATGGGATGGAATGGAATAGAAATAGAATAGAGTAGAAATAGAATAGAGTAGAAATAGAATAGA